ATCTTACTCTTTCTGAGCCCTTGTGTCTGTTTCTTTTACACCTTTGAAACACCTTTCTATTCCCCCTCCTGAATTCTTCTCACTTTGATGTTCCTGCTATTCCTCCTCCTGAATTCTTCTCACTTTGATGTTCCTCCATCTGTGAATCACTCTTCTTTTCCCCCCTCCCGAATTCTTCTCACTTTGATGTTCCTCCCTCTCTCTGAAGCTCGAAATCAACTAAAGGGCTAATGATAACTATCAAAACGCCTGCCACCAACTAAAGGGCTAATGATAGCTATCAAAACGCCTGCCATACCGAAATCAACTAAAGGGCTAATGATAACTATCAAAACGCCTGCCATTTGTTATAAATATTGCGGATCAAGTGTGTACACACAGGGAGATACTCATGATCACGAAGGGGGATTAGGTTAAACAGAGATTGATGATTGGTCACTGTTAGTACGGTCGCTGCACAGAGTTGTACGGCCGCACCTCCCAATCTTGGCGAGCAGACATGCAGGCATACGATGATGCACACAGCGATAACGTGTCCCACACTGAGTATGAATACTTTAATAATGTTCGAAATATTAATAAAATACCAATAACAAACTTGAATACCAACAGATAAACAAACCATGAATAAATTATGATAAAATGCAATAAAACTGTTTATAGAGCACCTAAAATATATATAGAACGAAAAGCAAAAATATCAATAAAATTCAAACAAACTTACTTTATTATTATCACAAGAATAGTGTCAATTAAAGGTGTAAAACAGAAACAACGAAGTATAAAATCCATTCCGCGGCCAATTTGAGCATTTATTGACAAATTAACTAAATAGGATATGATAAAATGAAAGAAATAAAAGTATTTCCTAAGATGGATAAAGTTACAAAGGCTAATCGGGTATTTAATTTCGTTTCGTTTAAGAAAATCAAAAATTCAAACTATGGGCATTTGACACATAAATATAAACGCATTTATGCAGCATAAATTTCAATATTAATACTATCTATGTAAGGATGTATAAATTAAGGACAAAATATGCCTTACAATATTCGCATGGTTTCGATTTCAAATTGGATTAGAAAACTTATTATTTGTATCAATAAGGTTCAAGAACACCCCCAAATAAGAAAATGCAAAAATAAACAGAATTTTTGACGAATTAACAGCTTATGCAGCATGTTCTGTTAGTAAAGTAAAACATCATCAAGGAAACTTTTCCTCATATCAGCAGCTATAACATTTTAATCTGTTGAACATATATATATGCCAAACTATTTATTTATTACTTATTTATTCATTTTAATTAAGAAAGAGATATAACTTTATTTAATTAATGCATATAATTTAATAATAATTCCAGAAAATCCAAGATGACTTTAACGCGTAAAAAATGAAATTCTGCATCAAACCTTCCATTTTTTATAATCAAATGGTCTAATCATGTAATGTATTCATTTATTTAGTTTTTTCCTTTTATATCTCTACCTATTAATTTTAGTTTCTCCATGATGAAGCGTGCCAAATATTTTAATCTCTAGGGTTTTTTCCAACAATATTCCCATGAAAACCAATATGAGATATTTGCCCAATTTTGATAGATAGTTCATTTTTCACATCGGACTTTGAGGAATATGAATCACAATAATTAATTAAAATTCCACATTATGGAAAAATGTTCAATAAATTGCATCGTATAGAAACTCAAATGCAATTCATGTACTTTTTTACCCTGTTTCGCCTAGGGAGAAATCTCTTCTTTTGTTAAATTTGCATAAATAAATCACATTAACCACTTCATACACACCCGCGCACTTATTGTTTGCAAATAGGGTCGATTATTATTCGTCTCTACTTCCATAACACACCAACGGCCGTATACCCTCATCAATTGACTCTTGATGATCACTCTTTCTGGAAGAAAACTTATAACTACTAGTGCTTAGCCACTTTTTTACTCTAAGGTAATTGGTGACGGTGGTTGTTACTACCCGTTAATATCAAAATTTGATGTAGGGCTATAAAACAGCAATTATCTGCATTGGTTTATAATGCATATATACCATTTGCTAATGTTTTATCGACTGACATGACTCACAGCAGGTCCTGTTTGATAATTATCGGCCATAGAATGGTAAATATTTTGCAATTTCATAACATATAAGAACTTAACGAATAATAAACGTGTCGCCTTCATATTCTCAAAGTCAGATCTATTCAATGTTATTACTATAATTTACAACCATTAAACATATCACTTACTTTAAATTGATTAAATTTTATCACGAAATACCACCGAAACTTTGTTCAAGTCTTATTAAAACTTGTTTCCTAGGCAAATCAACTTTCTCCAGGACTCTAATTTACATTAGGTGTGTCCCCATTAAAGGAGAATTCTCTAAAAGTTCTAGAGTTAAATGGAGCTTGATTTTTTAAGGCTCTTAAGTACAAATGACTGATTGCGTTAAACATATTCATAACCCCCCAACACCCACCACCCTAACACAATTGGGTTAAGTAAAATATTTTATTGCTCTAAATATACGCACTACAAAAATTAATTTGATTTTAAAGTTTAAAAGCAATTAGAAATATTACTTTTTTTGATTATATCTTTTGCATAAAAGTGAATAAATAATTTTTAGTTCGAAGTAAGGTCAAGGTCATTTATATGAATAAATGATATAGATAATTGAAGCAATTTTAAAAGTGGTAACTTTTGGACTTATATTTTTTATAATAAAATGAATAAACATAGCGGAACCTAGATAGTTCTCTTACTTACTAACTTATTTGAAAGGATTTGGGGAGAACGCAACTCTACAGAGATTAACTAATGCAATCTTGGGTGTGCGATAGACTTACCTCCACGTGTGCACACTGGACAACGTACAATCATACGGCAAATTAGTCTATTAACTGGCAGTTGACTTCTGACTTTAAACTACCACCACTCCACTGTATATCATATTCGACTACTTTCACAGTAGTTACCTCACCATTTCTACCTTTTCTACCTATGTCTTTCAAACACTACTGTCACCACCCTCTCGACTTTTTTCTCTTTGATGTTACTTCCCTCTGTGAAGTCTAAAGTCAACTAAAGTGTTAATGATAACCATCAAAATGCCTGCAAATAGTTCTTAATATCTACCATGCTTATTCCCGGAATCAAATTTTACATGCGAGTTTCGATATTTCAATTACCTGCTTATTCAGTTGACATGACCTTATATGTGATAACATAAATGCACACCCTATATATTTTGGGTCATAGCGAATGAATGACCTAAATTGTCTAAAGTTCGCATAGAGTCATCACATACATCTGCTCTTCCAAATTATATGGCCAACATACACAAATGAGTTGAACAATGGACCACATAACACGAGTTTCCTATTGTGGAGGGTTGGTCACAGAAATGGATGGAGTGAAATATTTGTGTGAGTTAAGTAATCTCCAAAATTGTGGCCCACACCCCTTCTACTGATGGATTTTAATATGATGCACACACATATTTCCTATTACTAACATGGATAATCAATTTGTAAACATTTCGATAAACTTAAAATGCCGGTAATAAATGCAGGCATAGTGAAGAGAACTTTTCTTAATCTCTTCCACCAAAATATCATATATTCCATTCAATACCGCATTATAACACCATACAACATGACAATATTTCAAATTGGCAAGAAATAAATCCCACCAAATTCTTAATCACTAAATCCAGACAGTCACAACTATCACCAAATTACCACAAAAAAAAACAAATAATAAATAGACGCCAAGTGGCATATTGAAACAGAAGTATTTTAACACAGCCATTTGAACAGAAAGACATTCATGCACGTTCTCCACGAATACGTCTGGCAAGTTGGAGGTCTCTTGGCATTATTGTTATTCGCTTTGCATGAATGGCACAGAGGTTTGTGTCCTCGAAGAGACCCACAAGATAGGCTTCGGCGGCTTCTTGCATCGCTCCAATTGCTGCGGATTGGAAACGAAGGTCTGTTCTGTAGTTTTGTGAAATTTCTTTAACAAGTCGTTGGAAAGGCACCTTCCGAATCAACAACTCAGTGGATTTTTGGTATTTACGAATTTCACGAAGGGCCACAGTTCCTGGTCTATAACGATGGGGCTTTTTCACTCCCTCCACAGAACGCGAAATCTTTCGTGCAGCCTTTGTTGCTAACAATTTTCTAGGTGCCTTTCCACCACTAGTTGATTTACGAGCAGTTTGCTTTGTACGTGCCATCCCAACGTGAACAGATAGAATTTGTGTGTCCCACTTTTCATTTCGGTTGAGTAAAACAAACAATAATGTTAACATTTAATTCAAATTCCATTTCATACTTCACTTAAATACAAGATTTCATTTCAAGTTATTTTTTAATTTTTTTTGTATTTTACTTTTATTTTATTTTACTTTAAAATATTTAATAAGAAGATTATTTACAGAATTTACGGCTGTTTCTGGTTTATTCTTACATTTGAAATATAATTGGATAAGTATTAATCATCTATACGGCGTTCTATATCTGATTTCAAAAATTATTGAATCGATTCAAAATCAAGAAAGTCTGTGGCAAACCAATCAACTTTTCATTGGTTTGAAGGCGAGGAAAACATTTCTCTCACAAATTCTAGAAATTGTTTATTTAACAAGTAATTACATTCATCTTTCTATATTGCGTTCATTTTCGTCTATACATGTTGTTATCTGTAACTTCCGTCTGTAACTTCTCACATGTAGCAAGTTTAGGGACTTTCACTGCCAGCATGAAAATACGTGCTTATCACTGCAGTATAGACGTAAATCTGGCATATTTAAGGTGTTCATCCTGGTTTGGAAACGAAAGTCTCTGAGAGAGTTAGGTTCGGACTATACGGAGGATGTGAAAGTGTTCAAGTCATGAATACGCACAACAAGACCCTCACAGCTCTGGAAGAATATGAAGGAATGTCTTCATTTTTTCAAAACACCTTTAATGAGAGGCGACTGTTTTCTATCCTTTAAGAAAGTCTATCCAAAACACTCCTTTTAAATTCCAAAAATTGTGGCCATGATCTTAGCGCACCTATCACTTTATCACTTGATTGATCAAAATTATACCTTGTTATGGAGCTCTTTTGGTTAAATTTACTTTTCCCTATCGAATAGGTAAACACTTGTTTCCTCCTCACTAACACAGCACTTAAATTAATTTTCCACATTTGCTTCTATCTTTGCTAAAGTTGGTAAAGAAATTTTAACTATTTGTATCAGATGTCGTTAATGCAACTCTTTTGGAACCAGTAGGACCCCCCCCCCCTCCCGACAGCATGGCCAAGTCAAGATTTTCAGTGAGAATTGAAAATGCTGATTAGTGGGCGATTCCAATTTCATTTCCAATTTCCTCAATGACAACTCGTCCATCATGTTTTCTTGTCTTCTTCTGGTGCTGGGTCCCTCCCACCAATTTCGTCTCTGATCTTAAGATTCGCCATTTAATATGTTGGAAGTGTAACTATTTTGAGTTGCAACTAACCATTATCTTAATCTTGCATGGAATGATCAGTCAGTCAAATGCTATCAGGACAACAAAATAGATATTTTTGAACTTGATAAAACGTGAACTTGACTGAGAATATTTTGACTCACCATTGTATTGTGGAACAAATTGGACTGAATAGTGAGTACCTCATAGTTTCATGATTAAGCTGCACTTGACAGATCATTTATTTGCCTTGCTAGCTCAGTTATCAGTCACCCGTTAATGATAAAGTTATTCCTCACTCCAATTATTTCTCTATCCAAGCACTCTTGATCAAGATTTTTCTCAGCTCACCTTTGTTTCCTCTTCAGACAGTCGGCGAAAATGTATCACACACCGGTATCCAAAAACAGGAAACTAACAAGTCATTAAGCAAATTAATTTATTTTATGATGAATAGTATTATATGGAAATAAAAGTTCAAAAAAGTTGAATTCGAAATGGTTATGAACATTAATGCTTTTGTTTAAGTTCCCAAATTGATCCAATGAAAAGCGAATGGCAACATCGTGAAATATACCACATCAGAAACTTTTAATTTAAACATTTTTCCAACCAATCAAAGTCTGTTGAATTTCACCGATTCTGCAAGTGGAAGAAATGGAATTATATTGTTAGGAGTCTAGACGTCTTAATTCTAATCCTAATTCAATGATTGCAGGTGTCGCCCACTCACATTCTACTCAATTCATGAGAATAAAATTAAAAATATGGTCAATTGGACTTGCATCGAGGCACACGATTAACCAACTCGTCTCAAATTGTGATGATTTGCCAAGCATCTAATTTGATCAATATAATAAGCCTTACATCCTAATAAATTATAGATTTATTTAAAATTGTTCCTTACGAATTTCTCAATGTCAACTCTGTCATGTTTAAAATACTTCCTAGAAAACTGTTGAAGCAATCAATGTTCCCAGTGCAAGGTGCTTCTTTTGATTCACGAACCACTGTGTCCAGGTGAACCTCCACTGTGTTCATGCAACAAATTTCCCCAGTACATCCACGTGCTACGGTATATGAACAATTTCATTGATCTTTGTTCCCTCAGAAGTTGGCTATTTTTGTCCTTGTACTTTCATTAATAGATTGCAGATATAAGACAAAAAACACGTTGATGATTTTTTAATTAAGCAAGTATACAGACAAAATTTAGTAATTTGAGTTAAGCATACAGTCAAGTAATGAAATATATCACTTCTTGATGTTTATAAGCAAATTCTCCTTTATTCAATTATAATTTGTCGTAATATTAAGGCATAATTCAGAGGCATATTCCTTTAATTAGTGATAAATCTTTGCTGTGAATAGAAAGCACTTTCCAACGTCGAATTTAAGTAATCTTCCAGTGAAATCCACTTTGCACCATTGAATTATTGTTCTTGAAAATAAAATGAAAATCTTCAGGAATTAAGCGAGAATAATTAACGCGAATATTCACATTGAGTTACATTCGAAGTTGCACAATAGGCAATTAGAGCAATGATTGGCCAAACTGTGAAAGTTGAGTATCGCCAGGTGGCGCTTTGCACTCAGCATCGTCATGTAAGCACTCGCAGAAGACACAGTTGAGTTGAGTAAAATCGTGATGAAGAGAGGTTGGGTCTCAAAATAGTTCCCCTTTCAACAATGCAAATGACAAATCTTGAGTTCAGAGCTAACAGAACGTATTGAACAGACTAAATTTTGAACCTGATCACTCATCATGGGACATTAAAACGAGGTTTATGGTGACTCTGTGCCAAATAGAGCAGTCGATTAGGCTCGGTTTGAAATCTTTCATGTGGGAAGAGTGCAACGAGATGAAGACCAACGAGGTGGAAGGAGGGAGGAGATAGGTGAGTGGCCCAGTGAAACAAGAAATCAAGAAAACGTCTTTCTTGTGAAGGATGAAACATGATGGCGAGTTACCGGTGAGGAAACTGTGAATGAAGTTTGAATAGTGCACTCATCAGCATTTTCAATTCTCACTGAAAATCTTGGCTAATCTAAGGTGTCGGTGGACACGGTGTAATCCAATAAAGACAGTTAGTCTGCACAATCAATAGTTATCACATTCATTAACGCTACATTTGTCATTCGATGTGAATGCAAAAAGAACAAATGACCACCATGTTATTGATTCATACTTTGAATATCCTTTCACATCGTCTACTCAATCGACGAATTTCTGTTCAGTTTCGATAGTCCACATTTTGCTGAAATCAATCGCAAATTGTTCTATCTCACTTGTAATCCAATTTTGTTGTGGTAAGTGAAAAGAACAGAAGATAATCAATGCGCCCTTCTTGTTATTATTCATTTCAATTATCAACTTCATTATTTATTCCAATAGTGAATTGCATTCACATTACATCATTCGTTTGTTTCTAAATTATAAATATGCGGTGGAAGAAACGATTTCAACATTGATAAAATTGTATGGAAGTAGTGAAGAAGACGATGTGTAGGACAATAACGTAAACAGATTTCCAGTAGTTGAAGGAAAAAGGCCTTTTTTTCGAAAACATTCTTATTTCTTCTCACAATTAACAATTCAGTAACATTCTTTTATTAACAAATGGGAGAAAATAGGAAATTTTTATTTCTTCTTTTTACAATCAATCCGTAATTTTATTGCTTTTTAAACGGAATAAAAAGTAAAACCATCACAATGAAGAAATAAGTAGGCGAAATGATTAACAAAAAATAAAAAGTAAAACGGTTCACAATGAAGAAAAAAATAGGTGGAATGATTAATTAAAAAAAGCAAAAGGGTTCGTAATGAAAAAATAAATATTAGAAATGATTGATGGAAAATAAAAAGTAAAACGGTTCACAATGAAGAAATAAATAATTGGATGATTGATAGGCAAAGGTTGTGTGCATGTGGGCTATTGTAACATTCAATATAATAAGCCTTACATGCAAACAATTTATCGTGAAATGTACCCCATTTCATTACATCAGAAACTTTAATACACACATCTTTTCAACCAAACAAAGTCTGTTGAATTTCACCTCTTTTAAACAGTTGTTTCATCCTCACTATGACGTCTAGACTCCTAACAATATAATTCCATTTCTTCCACTTGCAGAATCGGTCTTTGAGGATTGCCCAAACTGCACCAGTTCACTATGATTTCAACTGTCCTACGCATCGACCTCTTCACTACTTCCATACACTATTTTCTATATGAAAATCGTTTCTTCCACCACAAATTTATAATTTGCACAATGAAACAGGGCCGTTGGTTGCAAACGAATGATGTAATGTAAATGCAATTCACTGTTGAAATACATAATGAAGTTGATATTTGAAATGTAAAATAACAAGAAGGGTGCATTGATTATCTCCTGTTCTTTTCACTAACCGCAAAAAAATTGGGTTCCAAGTGGAATAGAACAATTTGTGATTGATTTCAGCAAAATGTGGATTATCAAAACTGAACAGAAATTTGTCGATTGAGCAGACGATGTGGAAGCATGTTCAAAGTGTGAATCTATAAATCTATTGTCAATCGGATGAAACAGAAGTTGTTCAAATGAGGCTGCAATCATGAGTGATGCAAGCCTGCCACACGTCCACATTGTGCACTTTTGTTTTTTTACATTCACATCGAATGACAAATGTACTGTGAATGAATGTGGCAAATCTCATGACAAATGTTGATTGTGTCATAAAAAATGCAATTATTGAAACACACTGAGTCTACCGACAGCTTTGATAAGCCAAGAT